CTCCCCAAACCACCCCCTCCCTCCCCCTCACGCGGTGCAGCGGCAGCCAGCAGCCCAATTGACTCGTTATCTCATTAGAGGCGGCCGCTTTGTTTAATACACGTATTTCTCTGCTGAGGGGATAAATTAGTGATTCTCGCCCCACCCGCCTCCCGGGCCCCGCCACACTGTCAGTTGCACCTATATCGGCCCCGCCACGCCACGCCACGCCTCGCTACGCCGGAAGCGGCGGTGCGCGCGCGCGCGCGTGTCCCGCAGTGTTAAGCAACGCTCGTCAAAGCGTGTTCAACCATACACTTTTCGACGCGTGTGTACATAACCAAACTAACGTTGACCGCATGTCATTATTTTACTTTCAACCAAACTTTTAAAAAACAAAATAAATAAACTGTGTGATGTCAAGAAAAGGTCGCCCTCTCCGCGCTGTTAATCAAACTACTTTCACGTCAAGTTTCTTTTTTTCCCTCCTCCGTGCCCACGTCCCTAATTTGACTCGGAGGTCTCCCCCCTCCCTCCCCTCCTCCCCCGCGCGTGGCACACACTCACGGCAAGCCATTCACTGGACTCTCCCACAGCTACCTTGCCCGGGCTCCCGTGCAGAATCTCGTTATTTTCGTGTACGTCTCTCTCTTTGTGGACTATCGGAGTATCGGCCAAAATGTGCATTGTGACTGACAACCCTATAGCAACACACACCGCCGTCCTGGACCGGGAGGCCGGCGGAGGGACCGGGCCAGCCAGGGCGGGAGGAAATTGAATTGACTCGTCGCGACACCTGTTGGAGTTATTCCCTGACGCCGATTGGTTGGCCAGGGCGCCGTGCGCAGGATGGTCTTCCGTAACGTCGTCGTGCGCAAATGACAGCAGAGCGCCAGCGGAAGAAGTCTTCGAACGCAATAAACGTCAGGCTTTTTGTCTTTGTCTTTACCTGAAAGTATTTTTGTTTCATTCCCCGATGAGATAGTTAGCGTACAACAACACTCACTGCTCTTGTGTTACTTGTGTTTTTGTTTGTTATGTGCGCTTTAAAAAAATGAAATGTGCTACTGTTGCTCCATGCACGTATTTATCCACGTCTGAAATATGGGAGCCAGGGGAAGAAATAAATAATAAATGTGAAAATGGCGAGGTCGTCAGATTGGTAGGAGTTGTTATTCTTTCCATTAAGTTTACTACATTACATAGTATACAAAGTGTGTGTCGGCGCACGACGTTGCTTATTACAAAAAGAGACCGTACGTATACTACGATGCACTATCACACCTCTCCACTATTCACAATAAATTATCTCTATAATTATGTATATTTGACAAATTATTCTCTTAAATGAGATGGAAGACTGATTCAGGGCACAACAGACGAGCCCATAAAAAACACGAGTACTCAGACTCTTTCTTACATACGTTTCGCATTCATACTCGCACTCACATGAATAAAATAATCACACTGACTCACAACACAGTTAGTTTCAGTATACAGATTAAGCTTCTTAGCCATCACGGCAATCAGTGAATAACGCAGTGCTTATGTCCAAGTGAATTAAAGGAGAGATTCCATAAAAAGAACATTGGACGAGCACTTTCAATGAAAGTATTGAACAGAGGAGAAAGAAAACATATGCGTTCTCTGTCTGTCTGATGAGCTGAATGCGTAAGTGCATATCAAACTAAGAAATTAAAACAAAAAATAAAATATAGAGCATTAAGGTGATATGTTTTCGGTCAGGGAAAGCAAGCACCCACGCTTGACAACAAAAGTTATTGGGATATGCATCGGCGCAACACGAAACACGTGCGATATGACAAAATTCAACAAAATCGTGGCACAAAAACGATATGGCACAGGTTTAACACGATAATCATCATCAACGAAAAACATTAACAGTGTAACATATGAGAAACAATAAAGAAATACGCATTTAACATTAACTTAAATATGACGTCGGTAACAGCAGGCTCTACCATATAAAGTAGCGAAAGAAAAACAGAACTTCTTTTCCAATTCCCACACAATGAGGGTCGGCAGAGGGGCTAGTGCAGCGCCGATAATCACGTTCTCCCCACCCTTTTAGCACGGATACCGCCCGCTCGCAGTTTTGTCAAATTTATTTCCATTTTTTTTTATCGCGTTTTAATATCTGCGAATATAATACAGCTAATGGAGCTAGCGAAACAAAAACGGCCGTTGCGGCTTGGAACAAGGCAATGCTTGTTTGGCAGATATCCAGCCCTGCGGGGTCCACGGCTACCCCTCCCTCCCCCACCTCTTCCCGTACCCCTCCCAACCCCCTCTTCCTCTTGCGTTGAGCCCTCCTTTGCTGCGGAACGTTTTGGAGAGGGCCCGTATAGCCCGCTACCTCACTCAGCACTATTCGCGTGCGTGCGTGCGTGTGTGCGTGTGTGTAGGTGTGTATGTGCGTGTGTGTGTACGTATGCATGTGTGTGTGTGGCGAGGGGGTGGGGGCCCTCCCCATACCAAAGCAGAACGTACTGAGAGGATCACGGCAGAAAGAGACAGACACAGAGAGAGAGTGAGCGAGAGGTGGGGCGAATGGGGCACTGATTCCTATTGCTATGTATAGGCAGCTAAGTAGGTCGAGCTGCTAGCAGTCTATTGCCGAGAACACGCGTCACAATCGACAGCGCATCAAACAACTAGTGACAGAGAAGTTGGAGAGAAAGAAAGAGAGAGAGAGACAGAGAGAGAGAGAGACAGAGAGAGAGAGAGAGAGAGAGAGAGAGAGAGAGAGAGAGAGAGAGAGAGAG